AAAAAAAAAAAAGGGCACAACTGATTTTATTTGTAAATGTGTTACACATTTTTTTTTTGATGACTCAACAGATGGGTCATTGTGTTACACATAACATGGAATTTCCAGAATATGTTGGAAAAATAGAACTTTTCTTCATGTTTCCCCCAACAAGTTAGGCAATGACAATGAAGACATTATCTATGACTTAGAAATGTGTCTTCCATTAGAGACTGTGTTCGCAAGGTGCTGGAGGTGCTAGATCAGCACTCCACACACCCTGAGTTTTCTGTCCCGGCGCATCTGTCTCCCCTAAAGTGCAGGTGGTTGAACTTCAAACTCATTTCCTTTGGAAATCCTTCCACTTAGGGTTGTGTGAGTGGTTCTTTTCAATAACACACTTCACTTTTATAAAATGAAACCTTAAGGAATCTTTTTTTCACAAGTTATTATTTTCTGAACTGTTGAAACCAGAGGGGGACCAACTTCTCTGTTTCCATTTAAATTGTCTCATGAGAAACACTTCAAGTGAATGCTTCCAAAGATATTCCAAAGATATCTTTATTACAGAGATAAAATGTGATGGTTAGATTTTCAATTTTTATTTGTTTAAAAATATGTACCCCACCTGGTTGAATTCCACTCCTTCATAACAGGAAGGACAGGTGTTTACAAAAGGGGTCTTGAAGTTCCTCCTAGCAGAGTCCCAAGATTCTGTTGTTCTGAATTTTTTTTTTAATTTCTTAATTTATGTTGATTAGACCAAGAAAATAATCTCCTGGTCATTGTGATTCTGTGAGGTTAATTAAATAATCCAGAATAAAATGGAATCACTGGGTCACTCTCTCTTCTTAGGAAGTCTGAGTACTGAGTGGTTAATTGCGTGTGTTGCTTGATAATTGCTGGTTTAATCAGGGTCCATCAGTAAGATCACCCGTGGACCCCTTTTAAAGTGGGTAATTAAGTAAGTTCCTCTTGTATCTCCATTTGCTTTTGCATCTGTTTCTGCAGCGCCAGCCGGCCTTCGACACCTTTGATGGGTCCCTATTTGCGGTTTTCCCCTCTCTAAATGAAGAGCAAACGCTCCAAGAAGTGCCCACAGGCTTGGATTCTATTTCTCATGGTAATTTCATCCTTAGACTTGAGACAGACGCTGCATGATTTCCCTGAGTGGTTCAGTTGATGGAGAGGGTGATGGTTCAGAAGCAGTGAGTGTTCCTATGTTGAACTTGGGTGTGAAAACCCTGGTAGATGACCGGAACTGGGAGAAGGCGGGTTCCTTTTTTTCTCTTTTTTTTCCTCCAGTACTGGGTACAGGTGCTCTGAGACCTAAATCTGGGTACAGGTGCTCTGAGACCTAAATCTGGAGAATCCCACCAGCGCGCTCACCCTGCGAGCTTCTGTGAGGAAACTGCAGGGGAGCTCTGTGTTTCCAGCCCCGGCAAGCACTTCCTCTTCTCCTGGGTCCAGCTCAGAAAGCAGACATTGAAATTCACCGGCTTTTAAGCCTGGGCTCACATTATTAGTTAAATTTCCAACCCCCACCCCCACTGCGGCTCTGTTTTCAGGACAACAAATTATTGTTGATCTGTTCCCATCCGATTCCTTTCTGCAGTTCTCGGTGTCACTGCTTACTCTTTTTAAAGGACCAGCATGGCAGATGATGGAGGGACTGGCTGCAAGCTGGCCAGCCCCTGCTTCCTCATGTGAGGAAAGTGCTAGAAGATTCAGCCCAGGCAATTAATTGAAAGCCTATGCTTGCGTTAGCATAACATCATGTGACTATCATTTATCATTCCTGAAACTTCTGGAAGCATCTAGAGAAGACTGTTTTTCAATTAAAATTGAAGACTGGCCCCCTTTGTGGTGCTAAGCTCTGCCTGACCTGATCATGCCGGGCCTCCTGCCTGCTGCTTGGTTTAATGGACATAACTTCTCACCTGTGCATTTAAAATCCCTTATGCCTTTTGACCAAAAACCATACCATTTCACCTTTTTCTAAAATTTTAAATGACATTCTGTCTATTCATGTAAAGCTTTGCAAAAGAGGATAGATTTTTAGATTTTTTTTATGTGTGTGTGTGTGTGTGTGTGTGTGTGTGTGTGAGTGTAGTTCTGAGACATATAATGATTTCTCAATTTCCGTTGAGATTTTTTGTTCCTATTTATACTTTTTTTGTTGTTGTTCGCGGGGCCCCTGGTGTGCTAGGCTAGCTGCCTCCCCAGCCCCGCGATTACATTCCTTTAAGGAATAGTGTCCAGGTTTGGGATCAGAGTTGCTCTCTCCTGAAGTTGGGTCCCTGTGTCAGTCCCCCCTGGTGTCGCCCCAGGCCCTCACCTGCCCTGCTTTCCTCTAGACTCGGCCAGCTGCTTCGAGCTGCCTCTGCTGACGCCCTGCAGCAAGGCGGTGATGAGTCAGGCCCTAACAGCCACCTTCAGCGGCTTCCAGAAGGAGCGTCGGCGTCTTGGCATTCCAAAGAGTAAGTGCTGTGTGTCCAGCGCCGACCCTGGCGTCCAGGGCCAGGGGCACGGCGGGTGCTCCATTTGGACCCCGGGTTGAGGGGTGTTAGCAGAGGCAGCGATGCAGTGCCCGGAACCCGTGTTTCCTGCAGGGTCTGCTGCACACCCGGGCCCCCCATCAGGCTGAGTTTCAGGGCAGAGCCCTGCTCACCTCCTGGGTTGGGTGGGTCTCCAAGAACACATCAGGGTTGCCTAGTCCCCCCTTCCCGCTCTGTCCCCGGAGTCCTCATCACGTGTCCCCTCCTCGCAGACCCCTGGCTGTGGAGCGAGCGGCAGGTGTGCCAGTGGCTCCTGTGGGCCACCAGCGAGTTCAGCCTGGTGAACGTGAACCTGCAGAGGCTCGGCATGAGCGGCCAGGTGCTGTGCAACCTTGGCAAGGAGCGTTTCCTGGAGCTGGCCCCGGACTTTGTGGGCGACATTCTCTGGGAGCACCTGGAGCAGATGATCAAAGGTACCCCGAGTGACCCGACGGCCTTGTGCAGGGAGGGGAGGCTTGGGAGCAGCAGGTGCTCTTCCACCTGAGGGTCCCGTTTCAGATGACACAGAGGGCACTGCCTCGGCACCCCCTAAGGGAAGTGACCGGAGGTCTTCGTGCCACTGCGGGAGGTGTGTGGCATACACAGGGGATGACGCCACCGGCAGCAGCCTTGGCCAGGGAGCGCTGCTGTGCCGGACGCCACCATCACGGCAGCCTGGGTGGACGGGCAGTGCGCCATCCAGGGTTCCCCGACTCTGAAGGCCAGGGCACCTTCATGGAGATGAGCTCTGTGCATCACCCAGTAAATTTCCTAAATCCAAAGGAAATCCAGCAGAGGACTCTCTTAGGAGGAGGAGCGTTATGTGTTTAAACAAGCAAGTGGTTGATTCCCACCTCTACACGGATGGTGTTACAGAAGCTGACCATTGACCACCAGAGACCTCACCAATACAGAGACAGCCACAATTCAGAACTTACCAGCAACAGCAATGTGTAAAATGCATTGTTTGAAAAGGAAAACGAAATTCATAGGGGTTGTTTAAGTTAAGAATTATAAGAGAATAAGCGTGTGTTGAGTTTGGGGAAATATTCTTCACTTAAATGGATTTTAAACATATCAAATTTCAGCATCTGCTGTAGACTCAGAACCTCAGAAAGCCTGGGGTTCACCCGACACCTCTTCCTAGTTACGACGTCTCGGGGCCAGGGGATCTTGTTTTAAAAGATCCCCTGTTTATTTGGCGAGCTGGACCTGTTTTGCTGTCACTCGGGCGTGTGAGCCTGTGTGTTGCGGGAAAGGCGTGTAGCAGAGTGCAGACCCTTTCAAGTTCTCCCATGCACCTGGCCCCTGCACTGGGCCTGCCGTGCCCTGGCCACACCTCCCGGTCTGGTCGCTGTGGGCCTGAGCCTCACAGGGCAGGAGCCATAGCCATCTCGTTAATCCTCAGCACTCCCTGCCCCTCACGGACAGTTTTTCCCAAATGGTTTAGGTGTTTCCTGAGCCTGGAAGTAAAGACATTTCAGGTCTTTCCAGCTTTGCCATCAAGTTGGACTTTGCCAATGGCATCATTAATTTTGGAAAACTTACTGACATTCTTAGGAAAATGTATTGCTGTCTCTGTATTTTTGAAGGTCACACAAAGACACGGGATGTGATGAGATGAACGGGAGGTGCCATATGCATTGGGTCATTCTGGGTCACCCATGCGACAGGGTTCGGAAAGCAACTTTTCTTGTGGTTTTTACCTGTTTGCCATCTTACGTCTCTTGCATCTATTTTTCAGAAACCCAAGAAAAGACAGAAGATCAGTATGAAGAAAATTCACACCTCAATTCAGTTCCTCACTGGATTAACAGCAACACCTTAGGTCAGTCTGCTTGATTCTGTCTCAGGTCTTGCTCTTGGGTCTTCCTGGTAGACAGGCCCTAATAGAAGCTCCACGGGGTATCCTGGACCTGCACTGTGCCCCTGGGGTGGCCACACCTGTGTGTTAAGCTATGCGTGGTTGAAATGTGGCTGACCCACATTGAGATATACGAGGGAGGCTATAACGCACACCAGTTCATAAGTCTTAGTGTGAGATAACATAAAATCTCCCCGATGATCATACCACACTGATTACATATTAAAAAGGTAATTGATATGTTAGGTCAATTAAAATGGAAAAATAGCTGCCCGTGGTTCTTGTTTAATGCAGCCACTAGAAAGTTTAAAGTCCTGTAAGTGGCTTGCAGCGTCTCCCGTGGGTCAGGGTGGTCCAGGCAGCGTACAGAGGAGAGCTGACGTCTGCGGTGGCTGGCTGTTCCTCTGCGGTGGGCCCAGGGCGAGCCATGCAGCCCTCAAGTGGCTCAGCACTTGGGAGTTGAAATGGCTGTTGTGGAGGCAGGGTGCTCTGGTCACTGCTCAGTGGGAGGGAGGTCACATGGAGGCTGGAGGGTGCAGTGCCACATGGGATTTGCTCCAGGGATGGCCATCGGGTGATCTGACTCTCACAGCCCTGCCCTCCTTCATTCCGCTCAGGTTTCGGCGTGGAGCAGGCTCCGTTCTCAGTGCAGACGCAGAATTACCCCAAAGGCGGCCTCCTGGACAGCGCGTGTCCCTCGTCTGTGGCTCCCGGCGTGCTCAGTTCCGAGCAGGACTTCCAGATGTTCCCCAAGTCGCAGCTCAACACCGTCAGTGTCAACTACTGTCCTGTGGGTCAGGACTTCCCCGGCTCCAACTTGAATCTGCTCGCCAGCAGCTCTGGTAAGCACCAGTGTCCTTGGCCGAGCGTCGATTGCAGGAGCCGCACTCAGTGGTCTCTGAATAAATGTGTCCTGGGTTCAGCCGTTGGAGAAGGACGTCAGAGGACGCTCTGTGCTCGCTCGGTGACTTTCCGACAAGCGGGCTTCTGATGTGCTGGAAACTCTGGGAGGGAGCTCACATGCAGGGCTGGAGGGGGCCGTGCCTCCTGAGAGTGAGCCCGACGGTCCCCTCTCTTGAGCTAAATCCCCCACCCTGAGGGCCATTTCGTGGGAATGATGTAAAACGTGACAGATTTCTTTTTAAGGAGAGGTAACACACATTGTGCAAATCCCAGTTGTACACAGTGGAATCTGTGCATGTAAGGCCACCTGTGACAGCTGTTCAGATAGAAATAGGAGTGTTTCCGGCACCCCAGGGAGTTCCCGCTCACCCCGTCAGTCCCGTCATCCTCCCCCCAGGAGGAAACCAGTCTGACGTTGTGTCGTCCTGAATCACTTCTTGCCAGTCTTCCTCGATGGAATCATACAGCGCTTTTTCCTTTGAGTCTGTCTTGCTGCTATGTGTGAGCGCCATCCGGCCTGTAGCCAGTTTTCCATTTCAGTGCTGCATAGTGTTCCATCTTTGAGGCTGTAACTGGTTTATTGTCCTGTGGACACATGGTGATTTGTGGATGTGCCTGTCTTAAGGAGGAGGCCTCTGAGTCTGAGAGCACTTGGGGGGCCCTGAAGGACCCTGCACCTGTGGAGGGGTGGCTGCAGTCGGGGTGGTTGGCGGCGGTGCCACAGTGGTGCCCCAGACCCACCTGTGGCGGTGACCCGGTGGCCCTGGACCCTTCCCATGTCCCGGGGACTCAAAGCACGTGCTGGGCTGTCTCTGCCAGGGAAGCCCGAGGACCGCGACTCCCCCGAGACGGGCGCGGACAGCTTCGAGAGCGCGGACTCGCTGCTGCGGTCCTGGAGCAGCCAGTCCTCCCTGCTGGACGTGCAGCGGGTGCCTTCCTTCGAGAGCTTCGAGGACGACTGCAGCCAGTCTCTCTGCCTCAGCAAGCCGACCATGTCCTTCAAGGACTACATCCAGGAGAGGAGCGACCCGGCCGAGCAGGGCAAGCCGGTCATACCTGCCGCCGTCCTGGCCGGCTTCACAGGTGAGCCTGGAGCCGGCCCCCGCCGTCCCTGCCCACCACCTCCGTCCAGGCCTGCCCCCACGTGCCAGGGGGTCAGGGTGTCTCCAGGCAAAGCCAGCTGGGTCCACACCGGCTGGGGACACCCCGGGTCTGGCCCTGGGAGGATCATGACCACGCCCTGCACCTGGAGGCGGAGGCCCAGGAGGGGGACAGGCACTGAGTCCTGGGCCCTGACTCACCTCCTGCAGGATCTCCAAGAATGTAAGCTGCCCCGGAGGAGTGGCCGGAGCGGCCTCCAGTAATACCTGGGCTGTTTACCTTTCCTGGCCTCTACAGCCATCGGCTCTTAGTGTTCAGGTTTGGGTGAGGGCTGTTCTAGGCAGAGAACAAATATTAAAGCCACTTTAGAAACAGATAATCCAATCCTGGAGTGAAAATACCAAGGTTTTTTTGTTTTCATGGCTTTGTGTGTTCTTTAAAAAATATATATACACACACACACACACACAATGTATATATACACACACACGTACATATGTGTATATATGTGTATATTATTTTAACCATATGGAGCTACTTTAAAAAAAAAAAACAAACCTCAGTAGATTAAAATGAGGCTACAAGGGCATCCATTTTTTCTGTCATCTGAAAAGCCCGTCTGTGCAGTCCACGTGGAGGGTGGGGGCCGGCGGTAGCTCCCCTATCTGGAGGTGCAGGGCCTGGTAGGGAAATGCAGGGCGTGGTGCTGGTTCTCTGTGTGGGTGGTGACGCTGGTCCCCATGCGTCCACTGCCACTCTTTGGGGAAATGGGCCCAGGGTCTGCGCGTAGTGTGGTGTGGACCCACTGTTGAGATGGGGCGGAGAGGTGGGCAGCTCTGGGTGGTCACCCAGCGCCCCAGCTTGGCTCGCTGGCTCCAGAACACTGTCCTTAGTGCTTCAAGGGATCACTATTCGGTGGGAGAGGGTGGGCTTCAGAGCAGAAGGTCTAGGTTCCCCCCGTCCCCGGCTGCCTGTGACCAGGACGGGGCGCTGGCCTGCAAGTGCACCTTCAGACCAGGCCCGTGAGGTCTGGGCCCCACAGGCTGTCGGTTCCGAGCAGCAGTGGAGAAGGAAGGTGGCTGAGTTGCTGTGTGCCAGGTTGGCTTCGCAGGCCGGCCGTGAGGCCACGGGGGTCACCCCCAGGCCACCGAGCACCCCTCTCCTGAGCAGCGGCCCCACCTTCTCGAGCGACATGTGTCCCTTCGGCCGTCCCCACAGTGCCCCACTGGGAGTTTCTAGAAATAGCCCCTCAGGCTTCTCCCAGGGGAGCAGCTCCGCAGGGTGAGACCGTGAAGGCCAGACGTGGTGGCCCTGAACTTTCTTCCCCAGAGCCAACCCAGGGAGCGGCCTCTTCTCCAACGGTGGGGGTTGTAGAGGGACAGCCCCCTCTGGTGTCCAGCCTCATCCCGTGGAGGTGTTTAGACTGTCCCCACCATGCTGGGTCCTGCCTGCAGGCCAGTGCCCAGCTGGCCAGCTGTGTCCCTCGGCCGTCCTGCCCCACGGTGTCCTGATTCTGTGATTGCGAGCTGCCTCCCTCTCCCCACAGGAAGCGGGCCCATCCAGCTGTGGCAGTTCCTCCTGGAGCTGCTTTCCGACAAGTCTTGCCAGTCCTTCATCAGCTGGACCGGGGACGGCTGGGAGTTCAAGCTTGCGGACCCGGATGAGGTAGGGCCCTGGAAGTCCCCAGGCTCTAAACCTGATTCGTCGCGCCACGATCCCCTCTCCATCCCCTGAGCCCAAGAAAGGCTCATGGGGTCCCCTCCCGAGCGCTCAGGCTCCACTGGAGCTTTCGCTTTGATGATGGACCACAAGGTGTCCTGCGGGGGCCTCTGTCCAGGGCCACTGGGCTTGCTTCCCGGTCTTGCTCTGATGTCCAGTCAGAAGCCTGAAGCTACACACAAAGCCTGTCCCCAAATGCCTTAGGAGACCCGCATTTGCCCATTGGGGGGCCGAGCTTCCTGACTGCCCTGCCTGGGGTCGGGACCAGGGCTCCCTGCTGCAGAAGGCAGCAGTGTTCAGAGCCCTGAGGAGCCCCCGCCTCTGGCAGTGTGGAGTGGAGCCCTGTCACCTCCCAGTTCCCTCGAGGAACCCGCACCGAGGAGTGAACATGTCACTCATGTCACTGGGCTTGGAGCCCTGCTCAGAGAGAGAACCCAGGGCAGTGGTGACCCAGCCTGTGTCAGGCCTCCTGGTGGCAGCCCTCGGCTCCCAGGAGGTTTTGCTAAGACACACCTAAGCCAGAGGCGGGGACCTCAGGCACCCAGGTACAGAGGAACAGCCCAGGAGGGACACAGTGGCCCTCGCGTATGTATTAAAAGACGACCGGCCCTCCGGGGCCTTGTGTGGTTGGCAGACTGTCGGGTGAGCCCGCATCAGAGTCGGGGAGCCATTAGACTCTGTGACTAAGTCGGCAAATGTAACTCTGTTCCATCTCTGTCCATCCAAGGTGGCCCGCCGGTGGGGGAAGAGGAAAAATAAGCCCAAGATGAACTACGAGAAGCTGAGCCGAGGCCTACGCTACTACTACGACAAGAACATCATCCACAAGACGTCGGGCAAGCGCTACGTGTACCGCTTCGTGTGTGACCTCCAGAACCTGCTGGGGTTCACGCCCGAGGAACTGCACGCCATCCTGGGCGTCCAGCCGGACACAGAGGACTGAGGTCTCTGGCGCCGCCCTGAGCCACCCCGGGCCTGGGACTGTGAGCGGGAAGCCCAGCCTGACCAGCTGATCCCCAGACCCGGAAAGGCAAGGTTGAACCTGTCCCTGTCCAGAAAGGTCACCGGGAAGCCGTGGCCTTATTTGATCCCAGATCCTGCCTGTTCAGCAGGGTGCCCCTGGTGGCCGAGTGGCCCGCAGCTGGGCAGGAGCGACTTTAATGAACGTGGTGGAGATGGAGGCGCAGGGGCCATCCGCCTGGCCATGTGGCAGGGAGTCTGTTCAGGATCCCCCAGGGAGCGAGCGGGTGTGGAAACACGGACATTGAGTGGTGTTTTGGCCTGTTGCAACCGGAGCAGGGACCCTCTCTGTCAGAGAGGGCTGGGAGGGAGGGAGCCTGGGACCACGCCATTTCAGAAGACAGTTTGTGTATATTATTGTAATCTTATAATTGTTATCAAAATCTAACAGTTCTATTTAACAGAAATTGTATATTGTAATTTAAAATAATTATATGACTGTATTTGAGATAAGAATGCAGACATCCAATATTTTATTCCATTTTTTCAATAGCACATGCGTCTGGCATTTTACAAAGACGCTCTCTGCCCCCGTGGCAGACGGAGGTGTTGTGAGTGTGGATTACGTTCATCTGATAGACCTACAGGAACAAGGTCTCAGGGGTAATCCCTGGTTTTCGTCCTCTTATTGTTGGTTTTTTGTTTTGGTTTTGCCATGATGACTATCTTGGCAAGGACTTTGTACACTTGGATTTTTATAAGAAACTTCATGTCATTATCCTGGGGTACATGGACCTCTCTGCTTTTTCCTTGAATTGTAAAGCAAAAGCTACAAAGCAGTATTTTTCTTGACAAATGGCATATGTTTTCCACTTCTGTGCATGCCTTAAAGCCGTTTATACACAAATGTATTTTATTTTTTGGTGTAACCGTGTTTTCCCGACAGCTCACCTCTCCTGGCCAAACTTTTCCTTCCTGTGCCCCGAGTGACTCTGTGTGATTAAAATAAGAAAACTATTTTTGGAAATATGCGAATCCTTTTCAGAGACCAGGAGGGATTTATGTAGCAGCTATTTTTACTACAAAAGTAATTCACTGGGAAAAAAAAAAAAAGTAATTTGTACGAAAGCTTTATTTTTATCTCAGCTCTGTGTCCTGTATTGTGCAGAGCTGAAGGGCTGGGTGGGTGGGAGGGGCTTCTGTACCGCGACGCATGGCTGCACCAAGGTGGTCGCCTGCCGTGCCTGGGGCCATCTGGATAGTATGCTTTCCTTTTCTGCTCAGCGTCCTCAGCAAGATCGTCTCCTCTTTCTTTATTATTTTCTTGGGTGAGGAATACCCAGAAGCACCAAGAGGGTCCGCAGACAGAGAAGAACGCCCTGGAGTGGATCGTTGGAGGAAAATGTTTCGATTCCCGCCAAGACCTGAGGACACATAGTCCACCATGTAGTCCTGGCCTTTGCCAGTGATCCAGCCACGTTGACTTCACAGTCGGAGGGACTTTCCTAGCAGCGTGGCCCTGGATCCCTGAGGCTGAATGAAATCACGGCACAGGCACCCGCGAGCCGGGGCCAGCGGAGCCAGCCTGTGGCGGCCCAGCCAACCTGCTCAGAAGAGATGGTTTTCAGGACACTGGCGTACCGGATGTTTTTTCAAGTGGGACCTATTTGTCACTGGAACATCTGTTTATAATATAAACAGACATGACTGGGAACATCTTGCTGCCGAAAGAAAGCAAGCGTAGCCATCGGCTGATTTGAATGAGGTGGAGCTACGAGCCACGGCCAGTTTCAGGCTGGTTCTGACCAGCAGAGACGGCAGTTTCTTGTGGTTCAGCCTCAAGTGATGGAAGCAAGTCCCGAGAAGCCTTTGGCATGGTAATGAATGAATGTTGAGTATAAAAGTTTTGTAATTTGGCTTTTTCTCTCTCAAGTAATAAAGTCTTTGGTTTCTGTAAACGTCTCCGTAATATTCCTCACCTTCTCCACTCCTGTGTCAGGAGCCAGAGTGAGGCCCAGGGTTGGGGACCCCGCCTGCACCTGCACCTTCCTGTCTCGGGTGGGCCTTCCGGTCGTGACCTGGTCTCACCCTCGAGGAAGCCCAGGAACCCTAGAATCCCTGGCCTGGAGGAAGCACTGAGCCCATCCGGAAGGAGTTCCCCAAAAAGTGCTCCTTCAAGGGAGAAATTCTTCCTAATCGTCACGGGGATCCTTTGGGCGTCTGGTCTTTGAGAAAAGACTGAGGATGTCTGTGTTAAGGATAGGACTTGAGGTGTAAGCACTTCTGTAATTTGAGGCTGGGGTGCTCCAAGTCCCCACATTGGAGCTCTGACACAGGGGACAGGAGCCAGAGAGGACAGAGATGGTCCAGGACACTCGTTCCCATACCCAGGACTCCACACCCTGGGCTGCCAGGCTGCCAGGACCTGGGGAAACCAGCAAAGGACAGCACTTAGGATAGCACCACATCCCTGCCAATGGTCACCATTTCAGAAGTTAACTGTTAAGATAATAATTTTGAAACAATCTACTACATATTAGCATAAACAGCACGTTTTTCTCACTGAATTGAAATTTTTTTTTAAATAATCATGGCATTATTCTACATTGGCAAATCTCTTTAATGTCTGGCTTAATAGATTTCTGTCTGCTTATTTCTGCATTTAGTTTGTTCTGTCATTTTTTGATGAGTGTATGATTGGAAAGTATTGCTTCAAAACGTTGACACATTTCGATACCAGACGATCATAATAGTTACTTTAGTCACCACCCATCTTACCAGGCTCACAACGACTAACAAATTTTCAAGAATTCACATCTTTATTTGGAAATTCAAATCTTATCATTGACAACAAATCTTCCTCTCGAATGTTTTCTCTGAAGGGACGGCTCAGTTCCGTCATTTTTGAGAAGTGACTCACCCGGTACTCTTGGCTGAATAGATGTAGAATCTGCCACTTGTTCTTTCAGGTAAAGATGGTGCCCGTGAATAAAGTGGTTAGTTTAGCTTGTAACTCCACACAGCCGCCTTTCCTTGGGATGGGCACCATACTTCCCCAAGCAGGCTTTCCATTTTATTACACAAAAAATTAAAAAGAGGTCTGTTCTGTTGGTAAAATTAGATTTCACTGATTCAGCAAAAATATTCTTGAGTGGAACTGACATCTATACACATTTAATTCATCAAGTACATGATGCTGAAGAATGTGATGACTCCTGTCCAGTTGTCAGTGCCAAAGTCAGCCCAGTAAAGGTATCGCAAAAACGCTTGCCTGACGTGTGTGAGGCACGGATTGGCGTCTCAGCTCCACATGTAAATAAATGAATAAAATGAAGGTTCATCAACAACTAAAAAATACATATTAAAAAAAAAGATACTGCAAAAAAAAAAATAGTTCCAACCTTCAGGAGACACCCCCCCCCCCAGTCTGAGTACCACACTCTGAGTAGTATTCTAGAAAGGAAAGAGGCTTACCTAGAACAAAAGGGGTGGACTTTGAGGGGAGGAGGCAAAATTAGGCCTGGCTATGTCAGAATCTGATGTCCCTGGTTCCAATTTTGCCCTTTCACAACCAGAGGATGCATTTGAAACTTAAAGCAAAAGGAATCACCTACTATTCTGCATGATGTAGGAAAAGTTCCTCACTTGGAGTAAGACAGACTTTGTTTTCCAAACCTTTTATAGAAAAAAAATGTATATTTTACCACAGTTCAGATTTAAATTCAGTTATAATTGTCTGTTTAATACATGAGTTCGTTTTCTGTCACTGTAACAAAATACTTGAGGCAATAAATTTATAAATGGAAAAAGGTTATTTTGATTCACAGTTTTTAGGGTTTCTGTTCTTGACTGATGGGCCCTATTGCTTTTGTGCTTGTGGCTAGGCAGCACGTCATGGCAGTAGCTCAAGGTGAAGCAAAACCACTCACCCCGTGACAAGGAAGCAAAAGAGAAAAAGTGGCCAAAGTCCCTCAATCCCTGGCAGGGACACTCTCCCCGTGATCTCAGGATTCCCACTGGGTGCCCCTGCTGAGCCTCCATTCCCTGTCAATTGTGCCACCCTGGGAAGCACCTGGGCCTTGGGGGCACATTCAGAGGGAAACCACAGCGACATAAGGACCATCCTCCATAAGGGTGGCCTGGCCGGGAGAAGTATCAGGGAGAGCTGAACCGAAATCACTCTAAAAATACAAGATCCTGTCCCTTGAAAGATGGAAACCTTTTTCTGAAGGATGCAAGAGTTCATCGATTGCTTTCACCACCTTCCTATAAAATGCTCACTTCGTCACCTCCAACAGAACCAACCATCACTTTGAAAACCTTAATGTCATTGGTCGGTTATGAAGACGATATCAATGGACAGGTTCTGTGCTTGTAACCAACCTCAACTGATCATCACAATGAATTTAAAAAAAAAAAACAGAAAGGGAATGGAAATTAAATATTTAGATCTGTGTCTGGGATCTTATGTCCCCCAGGGGTCACGGCGTGAATGTCCCCATGCGCAGTGCTCAGAGGAGGGACCTTTGGACAGTGCTCGGGTTTGAGGGCTCTGACCTCGGCAGCGGACTGATCCACTGATGGATTCAGGGCTGGTGGGCTTTGGGGGAGGGGCTTTGTTATAAAAGCAAGTTGTCTCTCTTGGCTTTCCGGCCAGCACGAGCTGAGTAGCTTCCCTCCACCACACGCTTCCGCCATGATGGGTAGCCTCACCCCAGTCCCAAAGCCATCAGGTCAAGTGACCATGGACGGAACCTCAGAAGTCATGAGCCAAAATAAACCTTTACTCTTTAAACTGATTTTCTCAGGCATTTTGTCACAGTGGCAGGGATCTGACTAATACACAGAGAAGTCACTCTTCTTAACATTCTGAGTTCTGAGGCCATGCCGAGACGAGGCCCACGTGGCCTGCCTTCCAGCCTTTCCCCACGTGGGGAAGGAGTGAGGCTCAGTTGCCTCTGGGCCCACCCCACAGGCTGGCTCTTCCCATGTTCCGGCAGGGCTGAGGGCCTCTGGGTGTTGGACGCTCACGGCGGACGATGACTCAGAGTCTGATGGAGCTGCTCAGTGAGGTGTGTAGGGCACAGGGCACAGGGGGACGGCGAGGGCAGCATGGGCAGCGGGCGTGGGGGGTAGAAAGTTGTCTGAAACATGGAGCCAGTTGGCAGTAGGTGTCCTTGAGCTTTGGAGCCACTTGGGGCTGGCTGTCACCAGCTCTGTCACGTATGGCCTGTGACCTGGGGCATGAGACCTACTCCCTCTCTGCCTCAGTTTCCCCTCAGGAAGTGGGGTCACTGGGTGGCTGTGGATGGATCACCATCGTGGGTACAGACGGCGTGCCGTCGGCAGCCCTGGGGGAGCACCATGAAGGACCAACCAGCGACTCCGGGCAAGGTGTGCTCAGCCAGGGGTCTGCAGAGAAAGCAGGGCTCCTGACAGCCACGTCTCCATTTTCACAAGGAGTGACCTGACCCATAGGTCAGCAGTAGAGCCAGTAACCAGGCTCCACCCAAGGCCTGGTCTCCGTTTCCTGGTGTGGGTCTCCGACCGCGGTAACCCTGCCCCGTGCTGTGGTGCGAATGTCCTCCTGACCTCCATTGAAATTCCATCCCCACTGGGACAGCGCTAGGAGGTGGGGCCTTTCAGGGGCGATTAGGCCACGGGGCTCTCTGGCCTCCTGAGTGGAGCCCTGCGGCTCCCACAGGAGTGGCTCTTCCTCGAGGATCCGGTTCTTGAAAAGAGGGGGGAGTTGGGGCCACTTTCTCCTGTCCATCGGGCACAGGTTACTTACCTTCCGTGCTGTCGTGATGCAGCCAGGAGGCCCTTGCCAGACGCTGATCCTGGACCCTTGGCCTTGCCAGCCTCCAGCGCTGGACTCCTTTTCTTTATGCATTGCCCAGTCTGCGCATTCTCTTGAGGCTGCAGAAAGCAGACTACATCACAGTTTGGATTCAGTGATGACAAACGCTACCCAGGGCCTCCCCCAAGCTTCCAGTCCCTCCTTGCACACAACGGAGGGCCAGCCCTTGGTTCGTGTTCCATTAAGCATCACCTCCCCCCGAAAGAACGCACAGTCCTGGTGCTCAGCGCTGGCGGCGGCTGGCTGAGTTTGAACAGATGCAAGGATCTCATAATCTGGGCCAGATGTTAATCTGTCTTTCTGTAGGAGCAAAGCAGAAGGGTGAGACCCGAAGCGCTGTGGGGAAACCCCTTATTTTGTAATTGTTTTGTAACTCCTGGGCGGGCTTCAAGCACGTTAGTTCTGCTTGAGATCTAACGTTAGGGGAAAGACCATTTTTGGTCATAGCTGGTGTGATGACATCTTGGCAACTGGAATTGACAGGGTATTTGTTCCTTGTGCTCTGAGTAAGTGCCACTCCCGGGCTCCCAAACTCATATTCAGATGGCACAGCAGCCTGGGGACACCACACCTCGCTCCTATCATCTGTCTCTGAATCTCTGGCTTCTTGCTGTTGCAACCAGTGCTGCAGCTCAGCACGCATGCGTGGCTCCTGTGGCCTGGGGTCAGAAACAGGGAGTCATGAGCATCTGTGGCCCCAGAGAGGCTGGGTGGGCTGGGGGACAGCGGGGAGGGGGGGAGGAAATGATAAATGGTGAATAAAAGTGAGCTTTCAGGCAAAGGCACGGTGTGAGCCATCTCCACGTGAAGCCAAGCTGAGAAAATCTCCCCGCACCCTTGCTGGTCAGGTCTGCCTGTGCCATGATGGAAGATCAGCAAGCGGACATATAATTAATCACTGCAAAACAGGGCTCCGTGTTCAAAGTTGGCTTCCATCCGTCGTCCACTCACAGCTCTGTGTCACCTGGGGAGTCGGCGTCACTACACCCACTTTGCACAGGTGGAAACTGAGGCTTGGAAAGTGACAGCCCCATAGTGAAACTGTAGGGACTGGCCCTGACTCATCGGTGGCTCCTGGTTTGCGGGGACCGAGGTGCA